GGTTAGGGATGTTTTAACAATCCATATTGTTACACATCCTTTCACATGTACGACATTCAAATTTCGTGCAGCTAGCATTTTCCTTTGTCAAGTTATGACTAAAATTAATCTTAAAAAACATGTTGCTTCCTACCTGACGATCAAACTACTCCCCGCTACCTCCAGCCTCCTCAAACCCCACCATCAATCCGACCAATCACGTCTCGGGCCGTCTCCGCCCACATCAAGACCTCCGCCTATCATGAGCAGGGACGACTCTGCCCACAGGAAAAAACCTACTGCAGAGACCCCTTACTGTCAGGAGGAAGGAGTACTTCTCAGACCTTCTGAATCCCACCGGCACGTCTTCTATGGAGGAAGCAGAGTCTGAGGACTTTACTGGTCTGTCCATAACTGGAGCTGAGGTCTCTGASGGAGTTAAAAAGATCCATGGCAGCAGAGCTCCAGGGGTGGATGAGATCCACCCTGATCTCCTCAAGGCTCTGGATGCTGTGAGGCTGTCCTGGCTGACAAAACTTTGCAACATCGTGTGGACATCAGGGGCAGTGCTTCTGGATCGGCAGACTGGGGTGGTGGTTCCCCTCTTTAAAATGGGGGGACCGGAGGGTGTGCTCCAATTACAGGGGCATCACTCTCCTTCGGGGGCATCACTCTCCTTCGGGGGCATCACTCTCAGCCTCCAGGTCAGGTCGTTTCAGGGGTACTAAAGAAGAGAGTCTGATCGATGGTCGAACTTCAGATTCTGGAGGAACAATGCGGGTTCCGTCCTGGTCGTGGAACACTGGACCAACTCTTTACCCTCACTAGGGTCCTGAAGGGGTCATGGGAGTTTGCTAATCCAGCCTACATGTGTTTTGTGGACTTGGAGAAGGTATTTGACCGTGTTCCTTGAGGTACACTGTGGACGTTGTTACGAGTCATTCAGTCTCTATACAAGCAGTGAGAGTTTGATTCATTGCCAGCAGTAAGTCGGACCCCTTCAGGGTGGGCAGAGGTGTCAGAAGTATTCATATTCATTACTTAAGTAGCAGTATAGATACTAGGGTTTAAAAATACTTTTTTGAAAGTAGAAGTATCAACTAGGGTTGGGCGATATTGTCAAAAAATTTAATCACGATTAATTGCAGTATTTAGCCGATAATGATTAATATAACGATTAATCCCCTGTAGACCCTGGACGCCTGCATATCCTGGTCACATGACTAATTTAAATCACTTTACTGGGAAAGATTTGCTCTCCATAAAAATCAGTTCCAAATTGTGTCCAAGTACAAACTTCAGGCTATACATCAACTTTTAAATTGTGTTGATAGACCACGTAAAACTAGAGTTATGATAAATAAATTACAGAACTTTTTTTAAATGGTTGTCATATTTGACTGACCGGGGAAATCTCCAGTCAGTCTGCCTGGTGCCATTAATCGTATTAATCATCAAGGGCCAAAAAGAATAATAATTGATTAAAGTTTTTCTGACGATTGATTGCACAAGATATGATTTTGCCCAACCCTAGTATCAGCTCAAACTTTTTACTCAAGTATAAAAGTACTGGTTTTAAAAATGAGTTTCCTCTGCAGGGTAGCTGGACTCTCTTAGAGACAGAGTGAAGGTCAGTTTTCTGTGAGGGACTCAGAGTAGAGCCGCTGCTCCTCCACGTCGAGGGGAGCCAGTTGAGGTGGTTTTTCTGGTAATGATGCCTCCTGGACGCCTCCCTGGGGAGGTGCTTCAGGCATGTCAGACTGGGAGGAGGCCCAGAGGAAGACCCAGGACACGCTGACTGTAGCCAAATGTTTCTCCATTTCCMGGTTCTGGATCCGCTCCAGCCGTGGTTCCAGGTGGATCAAACCGAGTTCTGATTTTAACGTCCTGTTTATGGTCAGACCAAGAGGAGTCAGCTGTATTTAGGGCTGGAACGTCTGGTTTTTCAGCCTTTCCTCGTGCACAATGCACATGTTTACAGTTCTGTTGGACGAGACGAGATGAAAGTCTGCTTCAACGTCCTAAAGATGTATTTCTTCCAGGGAAGTTCCAGACCTCTGGGACTTTTTCAGACGCTCCCAAATATAAAAGCAAAGGATCATCAAATGAAAAAAAAAAACAAAAAAAACACAGGAAACACAGACAGGATTCCATGCAACCTTCAGGTGAAAATGAAGACCCCAAACCCAGACCCAAACCAGTGG